TGGAACTTCGGTTTTCATATGCCCCAGTTTTCGTAGGATTTGGTTTTCGATGACTGTTTCCGTCAAAATTTTGTTCCAGTTTTCATACAACACCTCGGTTTTCGTAGAGTTGACGGTGGTCTGTACCGAATGCGTCCGCCTGCCCGCCCACATCACTTGGCCACTCAAGCGCCGACTGACTCAGTCTGCCTTTGTTTATCATTGAGTGAGCATCACCCTGCACCTGTTGTGGAATCTATTGTGTCTTTGTGGGAAGTCCATGGGGTTGGATGTGAGTGGCCAGGATGTGGAAGAGTTGGTGGATGACCACATGGAAGAAATAACCACTGAAGAGCTGTCACAACTTCAACTGGAACAGTAACAGATTGCAGCTGAGGAAATTGCTTCAGAGGAGGAGGAAGAGAGAGGGGAGAATGTGCCTTCTTCACTGATTAAGGACATGTATGCAAAGTGGAGTGAATTGCAAAGTTTTTTGGAGAAATATCACCCTAACAAAGCTGTTGCAAGCCTGTGTCTGCAACATGTTCAATGACATTGCCTTGTCCCATTTTAGGCAAATCTTTAAAGAGACACCAGAAACAGACCTCTCTGGACAGATTTACTGTGTGACAGGGGTACAGTGACTCTCAAGCTGGTCCTAGGGCCAGTAAAAGACAAAGAAGGGAAGTAACTCTGGATAGGGCCTTGATACCTGAAGTCCTTATGGAAGGGGATTCCCCATTCAGACAATAACCTCTCCTCCCTCTCCCCTCCTTGCTGTCTTCCATACGCCAACAAGTCTTCAATAAAGGTAAAAGTGTCATTTATATTTATTTCTCATTGTTTTCTGTATGTAAAACTATAGTTATTCTCTATAAAATGTATATTTTGTTAATATTTTTGGGTGTCTGGAATGGATCAATTGGATTTACATTATTTCCTATGGGAAATATTGCTTCAGTTTTCCTACAATTCGGTTTTCATTAGATTTTCTGGAACGAATTAATCACGAAAATCTAGGTTCCACTGTATTGTAATTAACAGAATAGAGGAAATCAGCTCTAATATACATTATTTAGGTATGCATACTGGTCAGAGAGCCTGACGTAAGTCTGAGTCATCGGTAAACGAGTACATTGCTAAGTGAGGAGAGAATGTAATACGCATCTTTATTTCTACAAGTACGTACATGTACGTACAAGGTATACAGGCCTATCCGACATCGGTGACTTTCACATAAATCTGAAACAGTATAATCAGTTCAAATGTATAACTACTGTATGGCTCATAAGAAATAAAAATTAATTATAATTAAATATTTGTTTTAATTTGTTTTATAGATTTTCATGGTGCTGCTAGTTTTTAATTTTGCCTTAGATATTTTTATGCATGTTTTGTATTTATTTTTCTTGCAGACAGTGCTGAATGACCTACCAGGTTAAAATGTTTTTCATATCTCAAACTTCCTTCTTTTCTTCCATTTGCCAGTTTTATATCAGTGCTCACTTATTTGTCTCACACTTCACAGATATTTGTACCAGGCTTTTTTTTGACGAGTCTATTGCAGGTGAAGTCTCCATATCCGAGGCTGTTTGAGTCTTGTGGGATAATAATAATAAAAAATACATTTCTTTTCTGCAGTATACAGGTAATATAGTTTACATAAAATATAATATTGTTAGGCACATAAGAAAGCATTTCAGATAGCTTCCTTGTAGTGAAACAAGCAGATCTCTCTTAACAGTATCAGGCTTTCAGTTTAATTTGTTGTAGAGTATAATGTTTGCAAATTTCCTGAGGTTGTAGCAGTAGTATTACCTTTGTATTAAGGGATGTGAGATTATTTCTCCTAATGTTGATATCTTTTAACCAACAGTGTGCCAGCATATGTAAGTGTCCAACCAAGCCTTGTACGCAAAAGATATAACGTCATCATTGTTGGTGCTGGAGCTGCAGGTATTGGAGCAGCGAGGGAACTTAAAGCACAAAACATTAACTCTATTCTTATTCTCGAAGGTTAGTGACTGATGAGTATACCTATATTTTATAAAGGGCTTAATAATGCTGCCAATCATCACAAGTTGATATCCCTTTAAAGCTTGGTAGAATTTGCAATCACAATATACCTAATACACTAGCAAATAAACCCAGTCAGTTACCTGTTTACCTTATGTGAACTATTAACCATGCAGGACTCAACAGCTGGTATAGCATGATGAAGAACAAGTGACACAGTAGGTGATATATGCAGTTGTTCATGAAACTTCCCCACAAGTAGTTTATTATACTTCAGAATGTTTTATTTTGTAATAAGGTTCCATGAATCAGTTCAACAAATACTTCTACCAGTACTGATGTTATGTAGGATACAATTGAAGACCTTAAGAAGGAAACTTTAATGCAAAGCACTGCAACAGGAAACTGTACCTGGAACATGGGGAATTTTAGACAGTCAGAGTGTTAGATGGGTTATGAGCTCTGAGCAATCAGCATACAAACAATTTTGAGGAACACATTAATGTCATAAGTCAGGAACCTACTGTAAAGTAATAAAAAAAATTGTTGGTAAAATTTAGTGGTATTGAAAGTCTCCCTATTTACCCTGGATGATCTTCACTTCACATAATGCTATTTTACATTATACATTGTACTTTGATTTTCAGAAATATAACCTGTACATTATGAAAGCATTTAACTGTACTTTGAGTATGCTTTAATACATAGATTAAATCTCTATGCATATAAAGAACCAGAAATGGTCCCTGCTCTTCCATTCATGATTGAGTTACTGTGATCATTAACCCTTTCAGAGTCGAGAGGCCCTCTCCTAAACTTGTTCTCAGGGTCAAAAAATTTTCGGAAAAAAAAATTATTTTTTCTTATGAAGAGATAGAGAATCTTTTCCTGATCACAATGACACCAAAAGTGTGAAATTTGATGGAAAACTTATGGAATTATGCTCTCACGAAGTTAGTGGTCTCGACGATGTTTACGCATCGGCGATTTTGCCCACTTTGAGCCCTATTTTCGGCCAATTCCAGTGTACTAGTCGACAAAAATCATAACTATTTCGCTAGAACTCCATTCTTTCTATGGAAAGAGTACAGGAAACCACCCATTTACCGATTTCAACTATCCAAAAAAGTGGTCAGAAATTAGCAATTTTGCCAATTTCACACAAATTTCAAAAGATGCCAATTTCCAAATAGGGTCCAGAATAAACAAGAAAGATTCCTGGCACTAAAATAACATTTCCTCTGTTCATTAGTCATGTCCCCATGCCCCTCTTACATTTCTTTTGCTTTCCACTTTGAATTATTATTCTTACAAAAAATAGAAGATTTACTGTTATGCAGACTGCTGCATTAGTGTAGAAATGGTATAAATAATATCAGCGCACTTGTGAAAGAATATTAGATGCACCAGTTGACATGTATTGGATGCGTGGCATGATTTGTTTACTTTTGAACTTTGGCAAAAATCGAACATTTCTGCTACTTTGAGCTCAATTTCAAGGTACTTTTCATTGTGAAACCAATCAAAATCGTCTCAATTTCTGTAATATGCCTTCCATTCTAATAAATGAGGCCAGGAAAACTAGAATACAACCATAAATACCATACGAAAATACGGTGCAAAGTCGCCATTTTAAACCAAAAAACTCGGTCAAAGTTTTTTTTTTCATTATGCACTGTGTGCTGCAGGATTTTTTTTTATACCATGCACACTGACCACATAGACCCATTCTTTCATATGTAGGCTTACCAGCTTTCTCTTGCTAGATTTGAAGGGGCTAGAATTTAGGCGTACTAGTATGTCAATAGCCCTGGTGCGTAAGCCGTACTTGTACGTCGGAAACCCTGAAAGGGTAAATACTGACCTTGCCAGCCCTAGACTATTAGCAAAGCATCAAACATGGTATCCTGACCTAATGTATTGTTTTGATCATGGCATGTTATGGCTCATGCTAGGTGGCTCATAACTCAGTGGTAGCACCAGATGACCCAGGTTCAGTCCCAGCTTATTGGAGACATTGGACATGCCTCCTTACACTTGTTGCCCTTGTTCACCTCTCACTCGATAGGTATCTGGGAGTTCGTCACAACCTGTGGTTAGTAATATACTTATGGGAAATTATGGGGATGAGGTTCACAGGCACATTCCTGAAATATTTCATCCACATAATTTAGGAGGGGAGGGCACAACTAGGTAACAATTTATTGAATTTACTAATGTTAGTTGTACCTCAGAGGTAGGTGGGATTTTAGAGACACTAGGCTGCACCATGCCTCTCCTTTGAGACCCACACACACACTTTCCCACTCACAAGTATAGTCTGGCCTATAAATTAGATAGATCAAATTTAATACCAGTAATGCTGGTAAATTATAAGATAGTAAGTGGACTGTATGATGGGTCTGTGACTTGAAAGGATGGGAAAGGGGGGAGGTGTCTGTTAAGTCCACCACTGGGGGGAGGGTCTTTTGAGTCCACCACTGGGGAGGTTTGTTGAGTCCACCACTGGGGGGAGGTGTCTGTTAAGTCCACCACTGGGGGGAGGTGTCTGTTGATTCCACCACTGGGGGGGTCTGTTGAGTCCACCACTGGGGGGGTCTGTTGAGTCCACCACTGGGGGGGTCTGTTGAGTCCACCACTGGGGGGTCTGTTGAATCCACCACTGGGGAGGTCTGTTGAGTCCACCACTGAGGAGGTCTGTTGAGTCCACCACTGGGGAGGTCTGTTGAGTTCACCACTGAGGGGGTCTGTTGAGTCCACCACTGGGGGAGGGTCTGTTGAGTCCACTGGGGAGGTCTGTTGAGTCCACCACTGGGGAGGTCTGTTGAGTCCACCACTGGGGGGAGGGTCTGTTGAGTCCACCACTGAGGGGGTCTGTTGAGTCCACCACTGGGGGGTCTGTTGAGTCCACCTCTGAGGGGGGTCTGTTGAGTCCACCACTGGAGGAGGGTCTGTTGAGTCCACTAGGGGGTCTGTTGAGTCCACCACTGGGGAGGTCTGTTGAGTCTACCACTGAGGGGGTCTGTTGAGTCCACCACTGGGGGGAGGGTCTGTTGAGTCCACCACTGAGGGGGGTCTGTTGAGTCCACCACTGGGGGCAGGTCTGTTGAGTCCACCACTGGGGGAGGGTCTGTTGAGTCCACCACTGAGGGAGGGTCTGTTGAGTCCACCACTGGGGGGTCTGTTGAGTCCACCACTGGTAAATGATGATATATGCTTATTATTCAAAAAAGTTAAAGAATGTAACTTGAGCACTCACCATAGATAGATTTTGCTCTTCGTAAGTCATTTGTAGAGCAGTTCCTAATGTGTACCTAACAGTTAGAACCTAAACTGGCCAATCAATAATTCTAGTAGCTAGGTAACAAGGGGGTACTTCCCTGGGTGAGCTGTGATGACTTCTCATTTCATTGATACAAAAAAAGTATCCAAAATGGTGGGGATCCTCTCCAAGATACGATATTATGTGCCGCAAACTGCCCTTCTCACACTATATCACTCACTCATTTATCCATACCTCACCTATGCTATTTGTGCTTGGGGATCAACTGCAGCAACACACCTAAAGCCAATAATAACCCAACAAAATGCTACAGTAAGAATAATCACTAAATCCCATCCCTGGCAACACCCCATCCCCCCACTCTTCATAGATCTAAACTTACTCCCTGTTCAGAACATCCACACTTACTACTGTGCAATCTACATGTATATCTACAGGACCTTAAATTCCAATATTAACCTTGACCTAAAATGCTTTCTTGATAGTTGTGACAGGATCCACAGGCATAATACAGACACAAACATCTCTATGACATTCCCCGTGTCCGACTAAACCTTTACAAATCTGGAATTTGTATTAGTAATTAGTATTTTAAAACATGTAAACCACACAATATCCAAAATCTGTAAACCCCACATTGTAATCCTTATAGAGAATAAACTTGATTGATTGAAGTTTCCCAATGCCGTCTTATTATGATGGCTTCAATGGCAAATACCTCCACACTCCATCACACGAAGCTTGCAGTTGCCTTGAACCATTAGTGAGGCCTTCCCACACTATTTTGGCCTCGTAGATGCTCAAATTAATAAAACACTCATTTGTACTACCATTGATTCATTGTCATATTATCAGTGTCTCTTCCCTGCCGGTGTGACAGTTCATTTTGCAATTCCCATTTTTATTTTCAGTCACACCAACAATACATTTTAAATATTACATTATTTAATTTTTTTACGCTAAAACTAGGAAAATTTTAAATTTTTTCCACAGTGCTCTTAGTCTAATTTTAGTCTATAAAATTCAGCAATGTAAAACAAAAATTGGAAAAAAAGAATATATAATGGAGAAACATGCTCAGACGACCATTTGGCAAATCAGCAAGTCTAGACCGGTTGGTTCTGTAAATCCTGATATTGCTAAACTGCCACAGGTTTGATTGGGCTCCTAATTATACAAGGTTACTTGAGATGATGCTGGATACAGCAGCATACTGCCAACACTATTGAAGGATAGACAGGTGCAAAGTAAGTTTTTTATTGTGACAACATTTTGCTCTATGACATGATCAAGTATTGCATGGACTAAAGTTTTCACAGTACAAGCTTACTCTGAGCCAATTTTTTCTTTATTGGGATATTACGTTTGATTTTTCGTATGAGTATGATTACAGTGGTCAGGAATTTTCTGGCTAACGGGGAAAGAAACTTAAGTCATTCCCTAACTTAGGATGCAATACCCAGGGCTCAGGGCTTGTATGGGAGATCCTCTATTGCATCAACTCTGATGTATCTATATAGCAGTTTGGTTGTCTAAAATTCCTGTTGTCACAAACTGATAGTTTTTCTTGCTGCAGTGCTTTGCACTTTAGTTTCCTTCCATGGTCTTCAACTACATCCTATATAATACAGTTCCGCCATCACAAATCCGGCAATAAGTTATTTGGTTCCTTCACTTATTCGGCACTAATTTTGGCTAGCATAATTTCAAATTTCCA